ACCTCTTGGGGGCTTTCCCAGCCTGCGGTGGTGGGGCTTTTGGATCCAGGCATGTGATAATCCACCCTTCCTCTCATGAGGATATGGTTAAGGCCTGGACTAGGGAAAAGTTCTCCATCTGATCCAAAAAGAGCCATTTTACAATTTTCTAAGCTCCCAAAAAGGTCCTATTTAAACTTTTCTCGGGTGCATTTGGTATGCGGGATAGCTAGGGACATGACAAAACAATATCCTGTCCCAAATTTGGCGTGACAGTAATCTGGGACAAGACAAACCAACCAAAATAGGTTGAACAAAAATCAGACAGACTAGACAAGATCAGTAAATTACTAAACTACCCATGTCAATTTTAAACCCTCAAACCTTCCACAATTTTTTCACCTGCTTACATGACTCTTGCCCATTCAGTCTTGTCTGTTTGCATATCAAATGCACCCCAAAAGATTGGAGAAAGAGTCATGTTAATTTGCATAAAATCTTTTAAGTTTCCAAATCGTACTCGACAACTGATATGTGATTGGTTGGCCAGCGTTTGCACCTATGAAGGGAGGAATGCAGTTCACGGCACCTGATTCTCCCTCAAGAAATCAACCGTTCGATGCAAAAAGATACCTTTCCTCCAGTGATGGCGATTAAGTAATAGGTAGTGAACAAAATATATTTCTTATTAAAACCTGCTGCAGCTAAGTAGCGCATTTATGATCGTATTTTGTTTCAACAGATCCCGCGATGGTAACTTATATGACGAATCCCGTTGTCCACAAAGGTACGAATGCCTCTGATTAACTGCATTTCCAGAAGTTGTGGCTTTCATTCTCCGAACAGGAAGATGTCGTCATGGCTTCCGCTTATGAAACCCAAATGTAACATATACAGTTTTTACTCCTCAAAAAGATATCTGATGTATAATTTGCCACAATTTTCAAGTGTCATAATCCCCCTTCCGCTTATCATGTCAAATGCCCCCCTCATGGAAAAACCATTTATTTTATGGCCGCCTCACAATTTTTTCTTACAAAATAGCAAAAAAAAAAAAAAAAAAAAAAACGCAAATCAACATCTTAAAGCACTTCTCATTGCGGTTTATCACAAAATCTGAATCATCCAGTGAAGAGGTGGGCCCACTGCGAAACCCGTTAAAAGCTCCAAGTTGCGGTATCGTACTCCCTTGCATCTATGCACAAAAACCAGGCCAAAATCGCAGGCTGTGAAACCGAAGCTTTGAGATAACAACTCTTACTGGCCAAGCGTTGTTCGGGTAAAAGTGTTTTACCAAATGTTTTTGGTAAATGCTTATCAATAATAAAATGACCATTATAATCATATTTGTAATTATATGTTGAATAAAATGTAATTATTTCTATTATTAATAGTTTAATAGAAGAAAAAACAAAATGCATACTTTAAATCATTGCTCATCAACAAGAACAATTCTTTTTCACTTTTTTTTATATGATTAATTGTTAAATTAGAGAACAAAATACAATTTTCATACTTTTAATTAAACAAATAATATATTAATAGTTCTTCATATTTAAATACAAACGAAATATGAAACGTTGATAGCAAAAAGAAATTGTTTGTTTTTCATCCTAGACAAAATAAAAATTAATTTGAAGCATTTGAAAATAGTTGAGTTTCAATTTGATCTCGCATATTAGTCATATATTCATTGTCTTGAGAACCTCTCTCAGTGTACTTCAATGATTTCTTCTTCAATGGATCCTCCATGTTCTCTTTCACTCTAAAACATGGCGCTCTAATCATATTTCATAAACAAAGTGTACAACAAAAAAACAAAACAAAGACGCATACATGAAAACCAATAAATATTGACATTAATAACTAGAATTTTAAAGTACCCACATCAAGAAATGATCGAGAAACACTATAGACTACTGAGATTACTTAATTTGGAAACAAAGAACATCCAATTCAATCAACATTGCTATTAATGAAGGACCTAAATATGGCCCTAGTAGTAATTATGTTTTTCGTCCTTGTGGTTTGTTAAAAATTGCTATTTCCTCCCTGTCATTTTGAAATCACAGGTTTCGTACATATGATTTACAATTCATTATTGTTTATGTTTGTATGTCATAAAATTTATTGTCTTTTTTCATCCCTGTATAAAAATATCATTGCTATTTAGTCCCTCATATTTAAAAACAGGATTTAATAAAAAGACAAAAAATATAATTAATTGTAAACCATAAAGACGAAAATCACAATTTTTAAACAGCAGAGATGAAATACCCAATTTTACCAAAATCAAAGGGACTATAAACGTAATTTACTCTAAAAATAAAAAGGAGGTGTTGAAATGCATATTTGGAAGTTGAGGGTCAAATTCACAATCAAACAAAACTACAGGGTTTTAAAAGGTCGATCCATCTATCATCATCAATGAATTCAATTCTCGATTCAGAAACTCCGGCCGGCGCCAAACCCCTTTCAAAACTTTCTCATCCCAACCATATTTTCAATCGGAGAATGTTCCGGCCATAGCTACCTTCTGATCTGCAGTCTTCATCATCTTTCGGACTCCAATTGTTGATAATTTGCCATTTCATTAACTGAAAACAGGAAGCAGCAGATGAGTGGGGCGAGACTGTGTTCATTATTGGGGGAATTGGGGTACGAAGGTCACGGGGCACTTGATCCAGACAGCTTTGAATGGCCTTTTCAGTATGAAGATGCTCGCCCTATACTTGATTGGCTCTGCTCCAGCCTCCGTCCCTCTAATGTCCTATCTGCCTCTGAACTTTCCCAGTTACATCTCTCTTTCTCTTTCTAAATACAGCAATTTATAATGTTTGTTTGTTTGTGTTTATGTATCTACATACAGGTGTTTTAGCTGATTACCGTTCTCAGATCGGTTCCTAATTTGTAGAAAGATCAAATTCGTTCTTCTAAGACAAACGATTTTAGGGCCGCAATTGTACAACGTACTTTACCCAATTTTATCAGATTAGAATAAACGGCTTTGATTTGAAAGCTCATTTAAGCAATGTGATCTTGTGACTTCCCATGGGGAACGCATGTTATACAGTTTTTTCCATCTTTACGCAGGAATATTACATAGGCTGAGTTTTGTGGTCTGAAGCTATATACCATATGGTGTTCTAATTGTATGATATATGGATATGCCATATGCTGACAATTATATTTGTATTGTTCTTCAGGTATGAACAATTTATACAAGATGGCAAGCTTTTGGAGGTAATTAACAGGCTTATTTTTTTGGTGATCATAGCTGATATTAGGACTATTCTGGAATTAGACATGGTTAAAAGAGACACATTTAGGATATAGGTTTTACTACTTGAACAAGAAGCAAATAAGGGTTAAGTTGTATAAACTACTGCTAAAAGATTAACATTTTCAAGAGGAAATATCACTTCTTTATCAGATCAAATTACCAGTTTGACATAGACTGTAAAAGTTAGTTCGTATATCTTAGTATAGGATTTTAACATCTGTGTGTTGCTTAATGGAGGAGGGAATGATGCTAATTGTTGGGAATACTCAACTTGGATGATGTTGATCTTTTCTGGCTCAATGGTTAAAATCTCTGAATGTGGTTTATTGCCTTGTCGGCTTAACACCAAAGGATTTTCATGGAAAACGGAAGAGTTCCTAGTCAAAGGTCTTGATGGTTTTCTTTGTTGAAGATAATTCAAGTATTTACATCCTTACTAACAGTGTGACAAACCACCCATATACCACTTTGTTATACTTATTGTTTTATTTAGGGGAATTTTGAGCATTTCTGACTATGGGTTTCAGATTAGTTGCTCAAGACTGCTTGGTGTGTTTGAAACTAGGACGAAAGCATATGAGTTTATAGAACCATGTTGCGTTGCAAATATCTGTTTGTGATCACACATTCACACTTAGCATCTGCATTGGGTTTAAGTTGGAGAGGCATGTTTAATTTGTTGCTTTTGCTCAATTGTGAGTTGGTGATCAATGATTTTCTATTTAATGAAATAGCAATCCAATTCATTGTAGTTTCTTAAATATTACGCTTTTCTACTAAATGTTTTGACAGGGAGAAGACCTAGATTTTGCTTATGAAAGCATTTCAGCCTTTTCAACAAGGAGAGACAATCAGGAGGCAGTGTTTGGAGCTGAAGAAGGACTAAAAGACATACGGTAAATTTACCTACAATGCATTTCCCTGTTTCTTCTAGGACCTCCTATCAACTTACCAAGTGATTCTCACTTTTGGGGAAAACCCCCTTTTAATTTCCAACCCCATCACTCTGTAATCTAAATAAAAATGTCTTAGACTAAGAATGTCCTGGAATCTGAAGTTTAAACTTACAGACTATTTATTTTTTTGTACAACTAGAACAGTCTAAATTTGTTAACAGAACACTTTTAAGGTAGGCACAAGTATGAATAGATTTGCTTTGTCAAACTTCTATCTTCCTTTTTGATCGTCTCGAAACTACTCTTTTGCTTAACGAATTGTTCTTTTTTCAAAGTACAATTGCACATTTGCATGATACTTTTCTTCATAAGCCTAGATTTATTGGTGGTGGATCTTGAATTCGTTAGTTTTGTTACACATTTTGTTAGAAATGAGTAAATTATATGGATCACCACAATGCTACCTGCAAATCACAATTTCAAGCGGAGCCAGATCTAACATCTTTAATTTAGGCCTCTTAGTTATTTTGAATTCTACCTTATGGGTGGGCTGATGTAAGAACTTGACCAAATCTAACGATGCTCAAGTACTCGAGATTGACATTATAATTCTGTATTTGTTTTTTTTTGTTTCTTGCAATGATTATTAAAGATGATTTTATTATAAGAACTATTCTGTGTATGCTAAATTATTGTAAAATGGGAAGTGATGTGTAGATTTAGTAGCTCAGCCTGAATAAGAGTTTGAAATGAAAGCTATCCAGCCATCCAGTTAAACTAGTTGTTCTATGCTATTCATGTATGTAGTTCCCCTGTATCTTTCGGAGCCTACACACAGGCTCGTTTCTGACATTTTATAGGCCCTAGGCGAACGTAAAAACATGGCCCAATACGATAAACAAGGCTTTTAGCAACGACTTTTGTCGTCGCTAAAAGTCCATTTATCATTAGAAAGAATATATAACAACAACATGTCATCACAATAACTTGTGGCGGAAACATGTCATCGCTAAAAGGCGCATCGTCAAAGGTCACTTTTCTTCTAGTGACCCTCGATAAGTATGAAAAAAATTCAATAAATGTTTTTCAGTTTGTATAAAATTGAGTACAAGAAATGCTAATAATTTACTGAGAAAAGAAAGCTTATTTATCTTTATTATAGATATATAAGAAAGTACTTGAATTTACGTACTTCCTATTAGGTAATTTGAAACCAAGAGTATAGAACCTATGGTTGATAATTTTTTATAAAGAAATAAGAATTTTTTTAGTTCATAACAAGAAATATTTGTTATTTTGATAAAAAAAGAGAATTTGTGTGAATGAAGTAATCGTGAGGGTCAATGAGAGATCAACAATAGAGAAGATTATCAAGGTTTTCTAGACAGTAGACAAATCAGGATCAATAAGAATGTGGAAAAAAAGATGATCCATTGAGATTCAATAAGAATAAATAATGAATTAAACATATAATATGCAAGCTCAACAAATGGTTGTTTGAGTACTTAAATAGAATCTTGTGGTATGGTGAAATTCCAATGAAAGATACATAAGTCAAACAATTTTATTTTTCTTCTTATTTTTGCTCAACTAAAATAAGATGTAAAGATTAAAAGTTTATGGAACATAACATATATAAGAGACATTACTAAATACATCTAGTAGGGAAAATTTATTGATTAATTACAAAACCATGAAACACGTCATAAATCATAAGAATAATAGATTGATTGTCAAACAATAGTAAAATGTTTTCTGTAGAAGCAAACATAGATAACAATAGTAAAAAAACAATTAGAACAACATAACCAAATAGCAATAGTTAATAGAAGCAGAAATAGATAAAAATATCCAACAAAAATATATAGCAATAGCAATAGCAATAGCAATAGCAATAGCAATAGCAATAGCAATAGCAATAGCAATAGCAATAGCAATAGCAATAGCAATAGCAATAGCNCAATAGCAATAGCAATAGCAATAGCAATAGCAATAGCAATAGCAATAGCAATAGCAATAGCAATAGCAATAGCAATAGCAATAGCAATAGCAATAACAAGCACATGATCTTAACGTTGAATTGTTGAAGCACGAAAACAGTCAAGCATATAGAGATAGCAATATCCAATGTCATTGGACCTTACTGGAGATAAAAAAAATTAGATAGGCAATAAACAATAACATATAATGAATGACCAATTAATTCTTTTACTTTCTTCTCCAATGTAATTAGTTGATATATTTTTGGGCCCTTATTATCTACTAAATTCTTTTTGCCTCTTATTATATGCTACAATTTTTTGGGTTTCTTTAATTTATTATAAAATTTTAGACTACTTATGTATGTTAAGGGAAAATTTTGGGCCCTGGGCGTGCGCCGGTGCCGCCCTCTCCCAGGGACGGCCCTGCCTACACAATATAACAAATGATTGCCAGCAGCTCATAGGCTGCCTTTATTGATAAGTCAGTGCTCCTTTCCAAATCATAGTTTAGTCCTGCTAGGGAGAAGTTCACAGTATGGGTTTCTCAAGGAAGTGGATAGTTTATGATGGTTCTAGGGCATATTTCTTGACCGTCTTTTTTTCTAGTACTCTAATGATATATACAACCTGCTCTATGCCAATGTGTAGAACATGCTCAGAGTATTCTAATTAATGGTTATGTATCGTAAATAGTTTAAGATATCTCAATCAAGAAATCTGGACACACAGGACATTGTGTTTGCATGTCTGCTGTCCTCAATGAGGGTTTCACTTCTTTCTGTATGAACTTTCTATCTCCAACCTTTTACTAGTCTAAATCAATTGTCCTTATTATCCATCTTAGCTTCTAGGTGGCTTGAGTCAGCCATTACCTAATTTCATCCAAGTCTTTTGGCCTGTCTGAAATATCTAACCATTTCTTCTGCTTCAGTTTCGACTCTTATCACCAGTTGTCTTGCTACCTCTATTCTCCATTGTATACAGAACTACTAATACATCTTCTTGTGGTCACATATTCTCTGTTAGCATGGTTTCTCCTAGTCGGACAGGCTGTGATGTTCACTGAGACTTTGAGACCATCTGCACAGATTCACTTGACTCGAGTTACATTAGAAAACAGCCTCCTTTCTTCGCATGGTTATGAGGGCATTGTCTAGGCATGCTGGTGATGTAATGTGGTTATATATCTTGAATTAATGTAGGGCTATAACGAACTGCAAATGCATGACAAAATTGGTGGATAATCGATTTGACTTTTTCATCCACAGCAAGCCAGGATCTTTATTTTGTTAAACAATGATAAAGCATTTCAACATTATTCTGTTCTGATAATTTGTTCTTTCCAAAGGGATTCTACTTTAGCTTATAAAGCAGAAGCTCTGGAGCTGCAGAGACAACTTGGGCATCTACAGTCTCAGTATGACATGCTCAGTACACAGTCTTCGGCTTTGATTCAAGGGAAAAGGGCAAGAGTTGCATCAACATCTACTGTCAATGGACTACTAAATACCATAGATGATAGTCTTTCAGCAAGAAATTTAGAGGTAATAAATTCCTCTGTAGATCTATTCTTTCTTTCCAAAAGTTTTTCAGTTAATTCAAGATGTTGGTACATTGAGTTGGAAGGCAAGTACTTGCCCTCATGGTCATGGTAAGTGATCATTTGAGAATAAATTTACAAGTCTATACTTGTTAATACACTTACAAGCTATATTTTAAAAGAAAAGTTTTTAGATTAGGGGCACCAGAAATTAGTAAATTTGTTAACCCATGATTGTAGACTTTACAAACAAACTTATGCAAAACTCTTCATTGTCGTGCATCTTGTAGAGAGATAACTTAAGTTAATTTGTTTGGAAATTAATCAGGAAATCCCTTATCTGGGATATGCAACCAGCCATGAAACTGAGATTTTGAAAGACGATATAATGTGGTTAGCATCAGAATTTGGTTCCATTTATTGATTGTGGACTTCTACACTATTCTATGATTGTGTGTGGGGGTGAACTACCTTATAGCTAAGGATAGCACTTGCTACTTACAGCTTTGGGGAAACTAAGAAATATTGTACAATGTGATTTTCTTTTCTACATGTGTGTGCTGAAAGCATCTTGAAGAACTCAATTGACTGGCCTTTCTTTTCTAAGTAAGGCTTTGCTATTAGTTACCTTCTGCCACCTTATAAAGTCACCTAGCTGCACTAGTGGTTGTGCATGTTTTGTTATTATGACCATGTTCAGTTATCTTCAATATTTTATTTGCTTAGTTGGACTTAAAGTCAACACTAAGTGGCTATTATAACTCAACTAACTGAATTTATGTGTACAAGTATATACTGGTATCTCCTTTAAAAGGTGACTATTCAGAAATTTATATTGGTTAGCAAAGAAGAGGATTAGTCTTGTGAAATAGGTTTTGGCTGCAAATAAAAACCCTTTGATCTAAACATATCTAATGCTTTAGCTCAACCCAAACTATTGATGCTCTACTGGGGACCATGTTGATAACAAATCAGCACACTCACTGAAGCGATATTTAATGGACTTCATTTCAAATTTCTTGATCAGCTTTTTTAAAGCTAATTTTATATGCTTTAATGCTTAAATATCAGTCTTAAACTTGTTTCATTGTACTTAAGATGAATGCAGTTCTTGGACGGCTTGCTTCTACAGCGCAAGAGTTGGCTCACTTTCATTCAGGGGATGGTACTGTGTTTCCTTTATACTTCTGTGGAGCTCATTTCAACCAATATAAACCATTTCTAGTTTAGTGGTCTTGAGATATTAGATGCATCACTTCTTCATGGGTTTTGATTTCCTGATATGCAGAAGATGGCATCTATTTGGCATACTCCGACTTTCATCCATACTTGCTTGTTGATTCATCTTGTATGAAAGAGTTAAACCAATGGTTTGTTAAGCAACTAGACACGGTACACCTTTACAGCGTTTTATGTATACTTTTTTTTAATATGTCGGAAATCAATGTAATAGTTTTCTGCAATATGGTGTCTTTTTGGTTATATTAATGATAATATAGAATGACACTGGGAATCCACCTTGGTTCTCGCTATTTTGCAGTGGACATTTTTCTTTTCCCCCTTTGTAGTTTTTGCATACAAGTGTTTGGTGAATTTTCATCTTATGAAATTTGAACCTTGCTGTGTCTAATATATGGTGATTCAGGGTCCTTACCACTTGGTGGCAGAGGAGGGAAAATCCAAATGTTCATGGGTCAACCTTGATGACATCTCCAATACCTTAGTGCGAGGTGATTGTCAATTGCACCAGGCTTTTTTATCTGATGCTCTCTACTTCTGCTTGTTCTAGATTTGTTGTCTTGTGTCATTATTCAACGTAACTGCAGCATTTAGATTTTTGGTTATAGAAGGGATTGATGCATGTCTGCATAAATTGCATCTATTATTTGTAATTGACAAGACTCTAATTCTTTCTTTTTCGTGGTTGTTTCTTCATGCAGCGGACTCCCAAAAATCACAACATCAACGCGTATCAGAATTGCAAAGGCTTCGCTCCATGTATGTTTCTGTGTCATTCAAGTAGAAGTCACTGGATTCAGCTTCCTTTTAATTGAGAGAGGCATTTGAAGTTATAGTTAATAAACCATATGCCCTTTGTTCAAAAAGATAGTGAAAACTGAAAACAGTAGCAGATGAATATCTTAATTTACAGCCTACTATAAATATTGCTCCATATCTCTGAGCTATTTGCTGAGAACACGTTGACGTTCCACAAAATTCTGGATTTCTAGATTTTCTAGATATATTTTTGTATTTGCATCCTGTCTCTCTGCATGCAACTGCAAAATCTCTTTCATTTCTAAAGATGTATCTCATTTGTATTCTTTTTAATTTTTTTAGCTTATTCATACATATCTTAATTTTATGTCAAACAAATGGATATAAAGCCCTTCTGTTATCTCAACGTGCTGAACCTGGATAGTTAGGTCATGGTCAATGTGCATATAGACTATGTAGGAGAGTTGGAAGTGCTATATGTGCATGTTTGTTTATTCTTGTTAATGTGCTGATTTAGGATAAGAGAGCAACTCAAGAGTGTGAGTGTCTTCAAGATTATTGTTTTGTGCTTTTTCAGCTTGAGATTTGATTAAGTGAACTAAAACCTTCCGCACGTAATTTTGTAACCTTTTGATGAATGTCTGTAACTTTATGGTTTCGATACTGCATTTATGATCTGATAGTCAATAGCATTTGATTTCCAATATGCAGATTTGGAACTAGTGAAAGACAGTGGGTAGAAGCTCAAGTTGAGAATGCAAAGCAGCAAGCTATTTTGCTGGCACTTAAAGGTCAAGTGACTTCAGATGAAGCTCACATTCACCTCGATCTTCATTCACTTAGGTATAAGATCATTATTCTTCTAAGTTCTGAGGACATAAATCCAAAAATAATATGCATTTCCCGAAAAAGATATCGTTATAATAACTTGCCACTGCATCATGGCGGTTGATGGGTAGTTGTGGACATGGTTTTGAAAAGGAAAAGATTTTGTTTCTGACATCTTTTTGTTGCTCAGCAAAGTCTTCTGAATTAGTTGGGGGCTTTTTACTTACGGCTTAATGAGCTTAACGGTCTGGGCGGCTTATTTGCTTCTTTACGGCTTATCATTTTGCCATTAAGCCAAAATGGGTATATGGAATAAGCCATGACCCCTCACTTGTACCCATTACGCGACCTCGAACAAATTAGTACCAAAAATGCCCTTGAAATAATCCAACCCTCTCTCTCTTTGCCTCCCTTAAACAACAATACATTTTTATCCGGACAGACAAATTTACAGGGCTTAATGGAAAAGTAGTTTTAGTTCACCCAGAGGAGGCATTGGAAGTGATTATTACCTGGGACTTGCACTTGTGTGAAATCCAAATGACCACTTGGCCACCGCTTTTGGTTTTCTTGGTGGGATATCTATTACCATTGTCAGACCAAAAACCTCCTTCCATAGGGTATACTATATTTGAAATGGCTGACATTTGATTTTCTAGTACTGTAATTTGCTTTCTCAGTGATAACCGTATAATTAAATTTCATCAAGCTCTTCATTCCTTACCTCAAATTGCAATTCCAACACTTATCAAAGGCTAGGCACATTGCTCAACTGTAAATGAGTTCCATAGCACTTTGAAACCATTGCATTGGGAGTTAGATTACATCATTTTGGTCGCAAGTTCGGTATTCTCTTTGAAATGTAACATATATATTGTTGAGAAATTTAAAAACTAATCAGCCACGTATATAGTATAATCCTGACATGCTGAAATATGTTACTCCCTACCTTTCGCAATTAGAGTCTACTTTGGTACAAATTAAATTTAAAACTGGAGTCTCATTTGGTGTAAAAGGACAATATGTCATCAAATTTATTGGTCACAGTAAAGACACATCCTTGTAAACTGGACTCTAAGGGTGTGTTTGGTACGTGGGGCAGGATGAGGCGTAATAGTACGAGGACAGGATAGGGCCTGAATGGGACAAAAATGCACTATTTCTTTCCCACCAAAATAGGTGGAACAAAAAGTTAGGGATATGGAACAAAATTGGTAAATTATGTAATACATGACCCTAGTTTTTTCAATCTACATATTATGATTATATGGGTTGTTTAATTCAAATTCTTACGTTGTTCATTAGGAGAAAGCATGTTGAATTGGTTGGAGAGCTTTCAAATCTACATAACAAAGAGGAGAAGTTGTTATCTGAGGTTTGCACTTGTATACTTTAAAATTTTGTTCTCAGTGTGTTTCTTACTTTTCCTTGTTGCACACATCAATTTCTGATTTGTAGCTTTTGAAATTATATGTTGTGTAATCTATTAAGGATTATTTTCGTACCGTTGTCTAGTAGCTTCTCGGTAGTATCTCTATCCGTATGTTTTTTAAAGTATATAATATTTATATACGGCAAATACTCACGCACACTCCTTACAATTGGTGGGAGGTTTGAACGCTTGACATCCTAGGAGGATGCGCTCCACCGCTCTACCGGTTACCCGAGTACCGTTGGGCCAATGACCCTCATGTCATGTGATGTAAATGGTGGTAGCTAATTCACTTTCACCCTTTCACCCTTTCACCTTCCATTAGTTGATGTAAGAAAGGTTTCTAAAATTTTATTGTGAATCTTTTAAGTTGTATGTGACACTTGAGAGATAATATTGCTGTTGTCTTGTTTTCGAAGTGCTTTTTTATGTTATTAATTGGCATGAAGTATATGGCTTTTCGGGTATAAAAATACCACTTGGTTTTTCAGACTATTCCTGATCTATGTTGGGAGCTGGCTCAGCTACAAGACACATACATTCTGCAAGGTACATATCTGACTAAAGCAGCTTTAAAATCCTTAATGAGAATTGATTTGTCTTCTATGTTGAGACCATATTTGTTCTTCTATAATGGGAATGCAAAATTAATCCTTAATGCAGGTGATTATGATTTAAAGGTTATGCGGCAAGAATATTATATTCAACGTCAGAAAGCGGTATACCTTTTGAACTTATACTGTGAGAACGTAATTTCCTGGTTGAGAGATTGAATATTTTTTCCTTCCCAAGATAATTGTCCATATTTCTCTTTTAGTTTGTCCCAAAATAATGTCCACTTTCAAAAGTAAGTTGACTACTTCCCATATAAGGGTAAAACTGTCATTTAGCTAATTTTGTTGGGCAAAAAATTGATTACCAGCAACCCCAACCGACCTCACACGGAACCGCCTCCAAGGTCACCAATGTGAGGGGGAATTTTTTGGCTCACTCAGTGGTTGGGCTAGTGGCCCGGGGGGGGGGGGGGGGAGGGCAAAGTCACCCCGCTCTTTTGCCAATTGGGCTTAGCTAATTAAAAAGTGCAATGATTACACATTTCTAAAATTGTGTTTTTTCCATTATGGACATTTATTTTGGGACGGAGGAGTACAAAATAATGAACAATGACCAAATAATGCTCGAGTTAAGTTAGAATATTTTATAGTTGGTTTGTTTCTTTGGCTAGTAATTTTCATTTTTCAACACACTCCAAATGCTCTAAATTTCCATCTCAAGGAAGTGTTATCTTTTTAGTTTATAATAGTTACATTTAACTCTATTCCATTTGTTTCTATAACCTAGCATATATGTGCATTCTGCAATCTTTTTTAAGTGACATCAAAGTCAAATGTTGACTAGTCAAAATGAACTCATTCATGCTTTTGTTTCTCTTTTTTATTTGGCAGTTCATAAGTCATCTCATTAACCAGCTTGCAAGGCATCAGTTTTTAAAATTAGCATGCCAATTTGAAAAGAAGACAATGCTTGGAGCATATTCATTACTCAAAGTTATCGAATCCGAGCTGCAAGGTTACCTATCAGCAACCAAAGGACGAGTGGTATGAACGTAGTGCATATCTAACTTCTTTACATTTTCTATCCATTGCTGTAATGAGATATACTGAAAGTTCGATTTTAACATATATTTTTCGATCTCTTAGGGCCGTTGCATGGCATTAATTCAAGCAGCATCCGATGTACAAGAACAAGGAGCAGTTGATGACCGAGATACATTTTTGCATGGTGTCAGAGATCTTTTGAGCATCCATTCAAGTAAATTATCTTTGATAAGTAATACTAGTTTGACAATATAGTGAGCTGTGAGGCCTCTAACCTTCAGGACCAGCGTCAGCTCAACCGGCAGATATTCCATCCCAAAATAAATGTCCACAATGAAAAAAAACAAAGTTTTAAAAATGTGTAATTATTACCAAAGAAACCAAACGAGCCCAGTAAATCCCATCCGGAGGTGGGATACGGGGGGTAAGATGTACACATATTTGACCGCTACCCTAGAGTATCAGCCGTTTTGGTGAAGACCTGTCCCCCCGGGGCTAGATGAAAATTTTAATTTAAATAGATGACAATTCTACCTTTAGTAATAGAGGGAGTAATAAATTTCTCCATATCATAAGTAAAGGTAGAATCAGAAAGTAAACACCTAGGGCCTGTTTGTTAGCAGCTTTACAAGCTTAATGAGACTCACAGCTTATTCAGCCAGCTATATATGACTTTTGTAGTGGCTTAATGATATAGAAAGCGTCTTATTTTGGAGGAGCTTTATGCAGAAAGCAAAGTTTTTTCCAAACCTGTCTCTCCCAATTAAAAACACGCTTCTTCCATCTATGAAAAAACCCTCCTACAAAAAAACTCTCCCTATCTATACAAACAGATTAATTCACAGTCAACTTTATTCGTACAAGAATTAATGGAAAACCAACCAAACAGCCCCTTACTTCTGAAAGTGGATACTTATTTTGGGACAAACTAAAATAACTTATTTTGGGATGAAATGGGTAAAGGCTAGGCCTTGAGGCTCCTCCCCGTGGGTCACCAGTTCCATTCTCCTTGGGGGAACTAGGGATTTTTCTGGTTGTTATCTTCTGGGCCCATGGGATTAGTTAAGGTGTGTGCAAGCTGGTCCTGACACCCACAGTTACAAAAAAAGGTCACAGTTACAACAAAGGTCTTTAATGCACACTTGCATTTGCTGCCTTTCCATCAGATGTTCAAGGTGGTTTGTCGACATATGTATCGGCACCGGGATTGGTGCAGCAGATATCCAGCCTTCAATCAGACCTGACGGCCTTGCAATCCGATTTAGATAATTCTCTTCCAGAAGATAGAAGTAGATGCATCAATGAGTTGTAAGTTATCTTTCATATGTATTTGTCAGTGATCTATCTCTTGTACATGGTTAAAGTTTAATAGACTTAGAAGTTACCACTTGAATCTCATGTTTCCCATCCGATATCATTGCAGGTGCACTTTTATCCAAAGTTTGCAACAGCTACTATTTGCATCCTCCACCACTGCACAGCCAATTTTGACACCCCGGGTACACAGTCCATCAACTCTTACATATTTGCTATAGTTTTCGTCAATGATTGTGGTTTTCTCCATGACTGTGCCCTGCTGCAACAAAAGCGGCTTTATAGGACGTCAAATACTTGCAAATATCCTAATAGAATGCTTCATAGGACTAAAGTCTATAGGACCATCGATTGTGTTTGTTATTTAAAAGGGCTAAAATAAGTTGATAGCATGTTTTTGGGTGTCCTAGCAAGTTGTTTAGGACACTTTTGAAATAAGAGGCTGTTTACCAAACGCTACCGGGTTAGCGCTTACCAGCAAGATCACCACCATCACTTACCTTGTTGGGTAACATTCCTGGTCATTAAAATAGATTGTTAGTAAGCGTCTTTTACTCGGTAAGCGCTTATTGGGTAAGAGTCTTCTTCCTCATTGGGTAATATCCTTAGTACTTGCTCTGCTTTTTACCGGCTAAGATTCTAGGTCCTTTCAATGCTTATCTGGAGGGTAAATGATACATGGTAAGTGCTTATCCGGTAAGCGTTTAGTAAGCGGCCCCAAGTGTTCCCTTGGTTTTTTAGAGAACACTTTTGAGAAGCGTCCAATGAACACATCTTTTTATAGGACACTTGTTATACGACACTTTTTCAAATGATGTCATATAAACAAGACTAGTAGGACGTTTTAGGAAGTGTCCTAAAAGACTTGTTAGTACACTCAAATGCGTCCTATCAACTTATTATAACATTTTTATATAGGAGACACAATTGTTTGGTCCTATAAAATAGTCGATTAGAACATTTAGAAACATTTAATATCCTATAAAGCCGATTTTGTTGTAATGAGATCTTTTTAACCCATATGTTTATCCTTCATACTATCATCTCAAGATTGAGATCGACAGTATTTCTTGTTTATAATCGAGAACTTGAATGTTAAAAAAGTTAAACTGTGAGGTTTTTTGCATGGTTGCAGACTCTAATGAAAGAGCTAGATGAGATGGAAAAGGTGAATGCTCGGCTGTCTGCTGCAGTAGAAGAAGTAACACTCGAGCACTGCAAGAAGAATGAGGTAACTTCTTCTCTATTATATATTCTGAAGCTATTATGCATTTGTTTTTTTGAGGTATATTATATATATATATATATATATATATATATATTAAGACGAGGGATCGTGTGAGTCAATGGTGAGAATGATAAAAACACTTTTGAGCCTTTGGATGAGTTGACTTTTTAATCTACCTTATTTTTTTTCAGCTAGTTTCCGTATCTTCAACTACATTCATCTACCTTTATCTTCACTTTTAAGTTACTTTCATGAACTTTTACTTACATTTAATCAGTTTTGCATGCATGATGATAAAATAGGTACATAAAGTAATGAATGTATATGAAGGTCTTGTTCTTACATTCTCACCATAACTCGGTTCTCACCGAAACCCAACCCTACATATATTGATATATAGTCCCAATCATTTGCAAACCTCTTAATTCGTACAAACAAATCTCAACCCTCCATCTAGACTAATGAGTATTTGGTCTCATAAGTATCTTGATTGTTTCATAATCTAAAGCGTTGATGATAATGAGAAAACTGTGATCATTTTCCATAGATATCTCGATCATAATAAATGAACCTTCATCATTTCCCATAAATATCTCAATTCTTTGGTTTGTATGAATTAGGAGGTTTGCAAATGATTGAGACTCTCTCTCTCTCTCTATATATATATATACACACGACAAATACTCACTATGAAATTGTGATAACCTTGAGAATGAGTGCATCATAAGCTATTTAATATGATTTTTTATTTTCATCTAAGACTATGATTTAGAATTTGGATCAACACATATTTATTTCACAATGTGAACCTTTTTAGTCTATTTGTGAAGCAAAAGTTGCACATAAAAAAGTTTCACATTGTGAACCGAATACACATGAAGCAATTACATCGTGAAACAAATATATGTTCATTAGTACATAACGTTAAACTTATATTTAAAAAAATCATGTGAAAGGATATCTTATGATAAATGTTCTCATGGTTGTCATAGTAAATGAAGTTCTCAAATGATTAAGCCTCTATATATATATATATATATACACACACACACGACAAGTACTCACACTTTTTGAACCCTTGACCTCCTGGGAGACTGTGCTCTACTCGTAACCCCAGATACCGCTTTGCCAAATGACCCTTTTGGTCATTTGTAATTTGTTCATGGATTAGAGTTATAATGAAAGATGATTAAAGGTTGGTTTGTTTGTTTGTTTGTTGGTGGGACAGATTGTAAAGCATCATTCACAAGAAATGGGACTTCAAAGGCAGGTTTTTGTGGATTTCTTCTGCAATCCTGATCGTTTGAGAAATCAAGTGAGGGAACTAACAGCGCGAGTCAGGGCTTTACAAGCATCATAATTCCCTATTCATTTGTGAATACATAGACACCAAAGGAAGGGGTTTCTTATGTAAAAGATGATGGCATTTCTGTGATGTTAGCTGCATGTATTGTCCATTATTCTAATGCAACTTCACCTTTCGTGCATTTTGAACTTGATGGTCATGAATTTGGTCCTAGCCAGCTAGAGCACCAATCGACTAACCGGTTAACCAATGGGTCCTTGTTAAAATCAAATATGTGGTAACTCACTTAACTTGTCTTGGTCTTAACGTGTTTGTTGGAGGAAATTCTTTAACGGTTTCTTTAGTATACTGAACATGACAAAACAGAAAAGGATCGTTATTCCATGTTTGATAGGATTTTTATGTAGAACGGACAGAAAAATAGTGGAATGAACCAATATAACCTCAAAATAAAACTTAATTCTGTTTTAAAACGTTAAATACGTTTCATTTTTACATTTTATTGATTCTTTAAATTCTTTTATTTTCTATATTTTGTTTAGTTTATATAATTTATTAAATATTAATAATGAAAAGATTATATAGAAAAGTGTAAAGTAAAAATTGCAAATTACATAAACTTCTTATTTTTGTATCATTTTAATCTTCTTGATGAAAACTTTCTAATGAAATATTTTGATATGAAAAATATTTATTTGTGTAATAATTTAATAAATTAAACAAAAATATATAAATAACTCATTAGTCGTGAATTGATCATTTTGTTTGTTATATCATATCCAATTTTATCTCAACAAACGTTGAACAGTTGTTCTTTATGTTCTGCCTTATCCTGTTGCACCCTAAGAGTGTGTTTGGTATGCAGACCAAATCGGTTAGGAGAGAGTAGAGATGCACAAAAAAAAAACTCAAATCTAGGTCAACCTTAGGACTTGTTCATGCCAACTTTTTTCAAAGCCCGATTAAAACCTGTCTTTGAAAAGCTCGATTTAGTATTTTGTTATAACTCAATAATTATCTTAATTATTTTTTAAAATTTTTTATATTTAAAATTATATATTTATTTTGTATTTGATTATTTTATCTGCAGTTAGTTACATAAATCCAAAAATAGAACTTTAATAAGTTATACTAACATAAATTACTTGTAATCTTGGATTTCAAGTAATATACAACAATAAACAGTACTACATGCATAAAAATGTTTTTTAATTTTTTTTTTGTCAAATGCTCTATAATATAGTATAAATTGTATTCCATAAACTATCCTCTTTTCTTAGTGGCGTTCCTAAATATCAATTTTCCTATTTCTCAACAATTACACCATTGACATAAGAAAGCTGAACCTCAAGTGACTGTAATTATACATCATCGTATGTATCCAAGTAACCTGTAAGACAAACTCAAACCTTATGACTCTGGTGTAAGCAACAACCTTAGCCCCGAAACTTCGTACCGCTAAAATAGACAGATATCAAACCAATCCGAGGCCACCACGTCACAATGCGAAATATCTTTTTTATTTTTTATTTCCTAAAATGTAGTTAGACAAAAATAAATAAATAAACCATATTTTACTAAAGAAATCTTGGACTGTCCACCTATCTTTCAAATCAAGTCTCCCCTTTCCCCTCCTCTTTTTGCATGTGCACCACCAATAAAAGGAAACACCCCACATACACTTTCATGTTTCTTTGACTTCTTTCATCTATTTTCAACCAAATTACCTCATCACCCCCCACCAATTCAAAATCCAAAAATCCATTTTATGTTGACAAATATTTCCTTAAAAGAAAACCTATGTAAAGCTTTTGTATCATATAAGCAAAATACCTCATACTTTTTAACTCTTGTGAACAAAAAGGAAAAGGCAGCCTATAAAGTTATAAAAGACAAAAAGAAGCTTCCTCTTGCTTATTTTATTTTATTTTATTTATTTGTTATTATTATTATTATTATTATTATTATTATTATAAATAGTATTTTAAAACATGTATTTTTGATATAAAGTTGTTGCATATTATGTTGGGATTTACAACCAATATGGTTGAGGAGGGCACCAACGACATAAAACGCCAACTAAAGTCCAGATCCAGACTGAAATATCGTTTAAAGAGTGATTAATTGTAATTGGTTGGTTCCTGTTTATTACAGTCACTAAAAACTAGTTAAGTAGTCCGTTAGCCAGTTACAACCAAATTTATTTAAATGTCGTGTGATGCTTCTTCAAAAAAACTTGTGGGGTAACTCAACAGACAATAAGATTTTGGTCTTTGTAGATTCTTTTCAGAGGTTACTGGTTCGAGTTCTACAAGACCACTAGAGATTTTTCTAGTTGTTCTTCATAACCATTAAAGAAATTGGGAAATTTTGGATCTTAGGTAGATACCAACATAAAAGGTGCTCCTCTATTTTGGACCCATGTTAAGTTTTAGAATATATAAAGTAAAATAGAATGAGGGCAAACATAAATTGGCAAAAGAAGGCAACAAGGGGATACTCAAGTCACTTTCAATAAAGTGAAACTAGTGGTTTTATCAGAAATCAGAGCATGCAGAACAAAGGGTTTCTTTTTTGGTTGGTTTGAAGCATGCAGAAACTTTCATAATTATAGCAACCCACCTTCCAATTTTCCACCTTCCCTTTTTCCCTTTTTACCCATTTCTTAATCAATCCAATCTTTATTTTACAACCATCATTCTTCATCCACAACCACCCCATAAATGGTACGGTTCACAACTTCGTTCCTAAGTTACACTGTAAAAAAAAATACAAGATCATGAAAGATGTCACTCTATCGTTTTTGTTATATGACATAAGTTTCCTTGATAGAGTTGGTTTGCATGACTTTTCTTCCACTTCAGGTGTGGGTTCCTAGATCTGATGGGGATTAGTCGGTGCATAACCTGATCCAGATATCACGGTTACCCAAAAACAAATAGGTCTAGTCTCTAGGGGATTAGTCAAATACATAATCGACCTGGATACCATGGATACCCAAACATAAAGTTATATACATTCTTGCATTTTGGCAACACAAAAAATCAAATTCCAACCATTCATGATTCAACAATGATAACCCATTAACAAAAAGGGATTGCATGTTTTGGATCACTAAAAAGGTTATAAATTTCAAGTGTTCAACTACAAGGGTAAAGACAATGATGGCCCAGAAACTCATTTCTTGAAATCTTGATACAAAAATGGATTACAACCCACATACAAAAAAAAAACAACCAACAATCTTGTCCTATTCATGAAATCTTCCATACATACCCATGGGCCATTTCACCATCTTTGACACCTACATACATATATAGATATAGATATAGATATAGATATAGATATAGATCTCTCTCTACTGTTTTCTCTAATTTTTTTTTTGTCTTTTCAAAGATTCACATCACACAAGTTGGCTGCATACACATTGAAAACAACCCCCATCTCTTGCTCTTCTGCATAACAAAACAAAATCAAGTTAAGCCCTGTAATTCTTTAATCCTTGAGACCCACCTCCCAAAATCAAGAAATAAAGATACCCATATTCACATTTGTCGCTGAAGTAGATTAATCTTTAAGGATATTCATAATGAATATAAGCCTTTAAATAATCTTTCTGACCCACCTCCCAAAATCCAGAAATATAAATACCCATTAAATAATATTCACATTTGTTTTTGAAGTAGATTCATCTTTAAAGAAATTCATAATGAATAAGGTTTTAAACCCTCGATGATCTTAAAGATGAATCTACTTCAAAGACAAATGTGAATTTTCTCGATGATAGGAGTGATGAATATCGTGAGAAGTAAAAAAAAAAGGTGAAAAGAATCATTGAACAAATCCATTTAAATATGTACATGTGAATAGAATCTATAATACCCATAAACATAAGAATCTTCAAATACCGTTATATTTTTACGGTATTTAGCCTTCTTATTTAAATATGTCTTGGAGGTTACATTTACATTTATTCTTTAAAAAAAGGTTTTAATCTTTAAGGAAATTAATTATAAAATGAGGTTTGACTGATTGGAATTTGATGAGTGTTGACTTTAGACATGGTTGACTATGGGGACCACAGGTCATGTAAAAAGTGGACAAAACTGAATTACGTGAATTCCGGGTATTCTAAAGTGTCAGACAACTCGTGAGGAGGAGAGATGGAAAAAGTTTTACCCTTCTCGGCGTCCGACGGAGGAGCTCCGGCGAGATCTTATACAAATCTTCATCAACAGCCTTTGGTTTAATAACCCTAACATTCTCCGTTGTCGTTTGCTCCGTCACCGCCGGTGGTTCTTCCTTTCCGCCGTATCCATAAACGTAATCGTAATCACACATCACCCACGCATCCTTCTTCTCTTCCCTCATCGGCGCTTTCCTCTGTTCATCCAAAAACCAAATCTCAAAATCAATACAAAATGGTCAACAACAAATCGATTACAGAAGTAACGAAATCACACGCGTAATTAGTTAATTAATAATTACCCGACGGCGAGGAACGACGATCATGGCCGGAGTTACGACATTGTTTTCATAGAGATCTCCGGCGACGTAGAGATCACGATCTTGAGGGTATCCATAGCCGTAACCGATGAATCCGGCTTGCCGAGCTGATTCGAAGCATTGAGTGAACGGTAGATGATTGTTGCAATCCCAACTGCCAAACGCCGGAATATGATTTCCTCTGAATTCCTGCAAGAAATCATTGCTATAATTTCAGAGAAAAGAACATCGATTACGGACAATCCAACCTGCATTTCTTCATCATTGTAGGGAAGATTGACGAAGGGGTTAGATTTGTAAAATTGAAAAAGTAGAAGGGGATAAAGTGTAACTTACATCCATGATTTCTTTCTAGTCTGGTGATAGTGAGGTGGGAATGAGGGCGTCTTTTTGCTTATAAAGCCCATGGAAAATTGTGAGTTCAGAGCAGAAGTTGTTAAATTCAGAGAATATTGATTTGATGATATGTGGATTGTGGATTAAAAGGTGTATGTTGATCTGGATTTGGGGTTTTTAGCTCTGGAACAGGGTATGTATTTGTGGTAAAGGGTAAAAAGGTAAATTAACATGAAAGAAAAGTACATAAAAGCTAAGGAGGTAGGAGAATGGACATCCAAGAGAGTGTCAATTCAAAGGCATGGTGAAAGAATCCAAAGGTCAAAAACATTTCCAAAATAAAATTGAATCGAACCGAACCGAATACATGATCGAGAATTGAAACGAATCGAATTAAAAACCGGTTGTAACCGGTTCGAGTTTGAAAAACACACACAAAGCTTTTAAAAATCGTTTTCACTTTGCTTCGGTGAATTTATTTGTTGCATTTGTCATATTTTATGTATATATATATATATATATATATATATGGAGGTTCAAACGAGAATATCTCTATTTTACGAGAATACGAAAACAGTCTTATCACATGTAATAATACGCGTAAGGGGACCCTGTGATGTGCGGACGATGTGTTCTACGACTTAGGTCGCGTCAAAGTTTGTCTGCGTCTATGATTTAGCATCACATGTGATGGTCTTGATGGATTATAGTATCATGTCAACAACACCCTTATCATATGTGATAATACTTGTGAGGAGACTTAGTGGTGTAAGGGAGACTTGACATGTTACCAAGATCGCATCGAAAATCGTTCGCGTCTCTGATTTAGTATCACATGTGTATCATATGTGATAGAATAATAGTATCACATGTGTATCATATGTGATAGAATAATATTATATATATATAATATTTATATACGATAAATACAACAAATAAATGAGTAGACTCTTCTCATTTAAATATATTCCATCCATATTGAAATGATTTAGCGTAAGATTGGGGATCCAATGAAAATAAATGGCATAAGGCTAGATTTTATTTAGATCTTATGATAGTCTGTTTTTTAGATAAAATTTTATTTTATTATTATTAAAATAATAAATGTGTTTTTAATATAAGTACAATGATAACATAAATATAATGTATTTTATTATTATAATAATAATTTAATATAAGTACAATGATAACATAAATAATTTATTTTATTATTATAATAATTAATTTAATAGTGGTTAGGGTGGGGAAACTGAAAAAGGTAAGGGGGTGGCATTTATGCATATGAGGGTGACAATTCAATATAAATATTTATTTATTTTAATTAATAATAAATAAATAAATCTACAACTTCATCCCCAGGCTTTTTTCAGTTTCTGACTTTCTCCTACCTGTCACTGTTTATTATAAATTCTTCCTATTTTTATTGTTTTAAAATTCTATATTACATATATTTAGTGTCGTAAACGAACCAAACGAAAAAAAAAAACATAACCTTGTTCATTTGCGTTTAACTTAACCGAATAAATGAACGGTAAACGAACGAAAATGTTTGTGTTCATGTTCGTTGGATTAGAAATCAGGTGTGTTCGTGTTCGTTTGTTTAGTTCGAACATAAACGAACTTTTCGTCAAACGGTTCACGAACGATTCGCTTAATGTTCGGTTCGTTTACAACCCTACATATTAATAGAATGAAGTAAATATTTACGTTGAAATAAAAACTATATGAATTTTAATATTATTTTAAAATAAGTAAAAATAAAAACTTCGGGTGATGTAAAATAATAAATAAAAAAGGAGTATAAGACAATTGTATGTCGGAATATAACCGTCAACGTTGGACCACAAATCCTAATGTCTTATTAGATCGAGGTCAATTTTTGGGGTAAAATAAATTAGGATTTTTTCTTATTTTTAATATAATGTATTTTTTATTTTTTTTATTTTTTTAATAAATTGGTTTCCGGTGTACGTAATTTCTGTTAACTCTGTTATGAATCCGTGTGACAACAAAGGTATCGACCTAGACTCGATCCTCTATTCAGTGTGTAAAGATCATTCGGTGAAACACTGCTTGGTTGGTTGGAAGCGCACCGTACATCTGTGGAAAGACATCTTCATTTGGTGGAACATTGATGGCAATCCACCTGCCTCCGTCCACGAGGTGCTTCACTTTGATGGAGGAAGACGAATCTTGGATTCGTTAAAGGAAATCTTGAAAGCGGTAATTTGGATTTGCAGCTTACTGTCTTTGGAGATTTAAAAACTCTCGGCTCTCTACGAGGGTCGACTCAAGCTTCAATCTATTGGGTGACATCCAATTCCAATCTTTTAATTGAATTTCCTCGAGGTCCAATTCTTTATCTATTTCTCGATGTTCCTGGTTCTGCACCCCTTTTGTACAGGTCATTTGAGCGTCCATCTTTTAGCTTTGGTCCTCATTTTGGCTACAGTCTGCAGTCTGCTATCGGTTTTTGTTTGTTTTCGGTCCTCTTTTGTTTCAGTTTCTTGTAGTAGATCCCCTTGATATATTTTTTTTCTTTTTTAATTTTCTTCAACAAAAATAATGATTTTTCTTAAGTAATCATTTTTGGAGAAATCTAAATTTAAAGAATTTTATTATCTCTTCTGCTTTTTCTATTTTAAAAAATCTATTAAAATACGTAATTTATTTAAAAAAAATTTATTAAAAAAAATATAATGAGTTAAAAAATAGATAGAAAAGCTGTTGTCTAAGGTTACCTGTTGAGCTATTCATTCAAAATGTCAACACCAGGTTTCATTCCCTTCGATGTGTCCAACACTTTACGCCCCAATAACCGATCACGGTCCCCAACCCCTCCTTTTTATTTTATTTTATTTTATTTTCAGAATATATTTATAAAACATTAAAAATTATTTATATGTATAAAATATTTTTTAACGAGAATATAAAGTTAAGTGTTATTTGGCGAAGAAATGTGTAACGTTATCACAATTTAGGGACGTTTAAGATTGCTTACAAAAATAACTTATTGATTTATTTCGGCATGACACAGATAATAAGTATATCAGTGTCAAAACAGTAATAAAGAGTTTTTCAAGAAGTTAAATCATTCTAACTTATAATAAGTTAATAAAGACTTTTGTAAAAAAAACATAAATTGTTTCAAATAAGCAATCCCAAACACTCCCTTAACAAAACCTCAAATAGAGAACCAGAGTTGAATAAATGTTTTAAATTAAATAATTAATGGTGGATTTGATATGATATCAAGTTTTTTTTTTCAATATTGTGTATTAACCAATTATAATTTATATGTAAAATGTTATAAGATGTACCAACCAACTGTATTTGGTACCAACTTTTTCCAGTTGATATCAGTCTTGTACCAACTTCAAGTTAAATGTATGAAAACTTGCTATTATGTTCAAATTTTGAGTGATTATTTGAGTTTTAAGGTAATATGTGATGTTTATGGAGTTTAATTTACAAACATCTAAATGTTAAAAAAAAAAAAAAAAAACTAAAGCTTCATAGTTAATAGTCAATAACTAATAAATATTAAATAAGTTGGTATTATGGTATTATCGTGGTATGCAACTTCCAATACCGTATACCAACCAAGTTTGCATATTTGATATGTCATCATAAACTGATGTAATTGGTACCAATTTAATTGGTACGGTTGATCCCATAAGCGGAGTTACCTTGATAAAGGTGGGGAAAGGATCCCACTGAAATGTAATAAATTTAAATTTTTGTTTTTTTTTTCACTCTTATCTCTGGTCATTTTCGACGGTTTTCTCAGTGGCCTAGTCCGTTTTAAAGAAATCCTCCACTCTTTTGCTTGACAGTCGTTTTTCCCCGTATATCGTTATCGGTAGTTCTTGCAATCATTTTACAATGATAATATTGGTTGATGATTTTGTTGAATATATCTCAATTTCTTGTTCTTTTAACTACAAGGGTGGTGTCTGATTGGTTTGAGCTTAGCTCTAAAGGTCAAAAGTACCAGGATGTCTCAGATTCAAATCCAATGAGGAATAAAAATCCCTTTGTGGCCACGGAGGTTCAAATGCGGTGACTCCGTGCTATTTGCAAAGCAGGTGGTCGCTATGAGATTAGTCGGCTCGCATAGCGGGTTGGATATCCAGGTTAATAAAAAAAATCTTGTTCTTTTAATTTTATATGGATTCAAACCAATTCATCTGAAAATAATTATATAAATTAACTAATGGTGTACTTTTCTATTCGATTAACTGATATGGTAAAAATAATCGAAATCAAAATTTATCAGATTTTTTATAACCTAGACCCTCTAGTCACCTAAGTTTTGGATCGCCATTGATTGACACCTATGTTGATTGGTTTAATTTGGTACAAAATTGTCATCCTTGTAAATAATATCTTTAAAAAAATATTTTAATGTTTAAATATATTGTAAACGCCAACTACATTATCATATGAGACATACTTTGTTATGAAAAGGGCAAATTGCATGAAAAAGTAACGTACTTTAACTTAATTCTTATTTTGGGTAACGTACTTTCAAAACTTTCATTTTGGTATCTACAATGTAAAGTTTTAAACATTTAAGTACCCCGAGTAACCGGTTGAAGCATTAACCAGTTACCATGTTGATGTGGCGAGTGATATGGTATCCGGTTAATACTTCAGTAAATAATATTGAGTTGGATACCACATCACTCATTATATTAGCATGTTAACCGGTTAATGCTTCAACCGGTTTTCCGAGTACTTAAATATTTAAAACTTTGCATCTTAGATACCAAGATATAAGTTCTGAAAGTATGTTACCAAAATAGAAATCAAGTTAAAGTAAGTTCTTTTTTAATGCAATTTTCCCATATGAAAACTAGTCATATAAATACAATATTGTAAATAAAGAAAAATTGTTTAAACGAGTCAAATTATCAAATGTACATTATATATATATATATATATATATATATATATATATATATATATATTTTGTGGTGCATTGTATTTAGATGTTTAATGCGGTTGTTGACATGAACAAGCTAATTG